GCTTGACAGTCATTTCTTTTCAAGCAGATGGAAGTTGGTCTTCTTCGGGTGGCTGACGAGACACCAGATGGAAATGCACTGCCAGTGAGATTGATGTTTCCTTCAAGATTTCTCGATGGACCTCACCTGGCAAAACGTGCTAAAAGTTCTTGGAGAATATCTTTCTCGTCGAAAAACACGTTGGTTAGAGGCCGGCAGTAGTTACGTCTTGGCAGGAGTAGATGTGACGAGGACGCTAGGGCTGAATATAGACCTGCGTACTGTTCCTTGCAGATCTCAGCCACCACACTTTTATCACTCGTGAGTCCCCGGTTGCACCATTGTAAGTTTGTATACACGCCACCCTAGCAGTAGCACTGGTGCTTGGCCCATTGCCGATTGTTCTGAGCCTGGCCTTCAATTCAGGAAACCGTAAAGGAACACCGATGTTGTTTTTCTCTAACTGCTTTGGACTTGTCCTGGTGGTCACTAATCTCAGAACGCAAGAAATACAAACGAACGACAGCTGACCTTCAATTGATTTGAAAAATGTCTATGCATGGAGTAACCTGAAGGGATCGTGCGATGCTCGCCGCTAACTTTGAAGTGCAAGGTGCTGCCACATTAGTCTCACTGTGGTTGCAACACACCAAGACCAGTCCATCATCTAGACATAACTCACGTTCTTCCCTCTAAAATTTTCAAGCGATCATGTACATATGGGCTGTTAAAACCTTATTATTTCCTGTATATCAGCAATCACAGCTAGCGCCTAATGGTTGCCTTTCTGCCACGCGCCATTCGTTCCTTGGAGTAGACAGCAGCTACTCGGTCAGTGTAGACCCCTACTCTTACCTTCTGTTAATTTGACGTAGTATATTTCAATTAAACTATGGCTCCCCATTGTCTTGGATGGGTTGCACGACCGCTTCTTACTTGTCCACTGTCTCTGTTCACATCAACCCCTCTTTGCACAATGAAGACTATTTTCGGATTCTCTTGGTATGGCAAAAAATACTGCTACATAATCTCGCGTTCCATCTAGTCCGACGGCTAACCTCACTGCATGCTACATGGGCAAGAGAGTCGTTACCTTCCCAAAATTAGACACCTACTCTGGTCCAGATGGTATTTGGTTTCAAGGTCAGCAAACGAACCCAGCCTTCCCTGGATTATTTAGCTTGCCCGCCGTCCACTTTTGGCTTTACTTTCTATTGACACCTTCTTATCTGATGCCCCCGGCATTCACCAAATGATACTGTTCTCATCCTATTCATTTCTCGTTCCTTCTCTTCCCATGCTTCAAACTTCAGCTTAATTTGCTCGGACACGCCGTGCAACTGTTATTGAATCAACCTTCGTATTCTCCGGCCTACACTCACATGGTTCCCCAGGGAAATTATACGTGACTCTGCATCAGCCTGACTCTATGTGTCAATCTCCTTGTCTAAACATGACCCAGCTGCCACAGAAATGCGTATCCCGGCTTCAATTGTGGCACCTTTGACGACCGATACGGGGTTGTCCAAACACCTAATTGTGTCAAAGCAATGATGGCGCGGCTATGCCATACCCAGTATGATTGCATTTCCAGAACTATTTTCTTCAGAATCCTGACCATAACCTCTCGCCCGCTCGGGTCTGGAATCGCAACCACGAGCAAATTTTTCACCTGGTCCTAACCGCCTCTGGAGAGAGTTCATTCTTACCCGATGAAACATTTGTTCGATTCGACAAACCCGGCTTTCTGCTTCAACTTCGGGCTGCCTCTTCCACGAGTTCAAGTGCATATATGGTCTTCGTTTGGCCCTATGCATTAGCAGCACAATCTCCCAGTTAAATCTCTCCCTGGCGTATTTCTGATTTAGAGCGGTTCATTTTTTAAAAAGGCAGCTTTTTCTGTGTCAATTTTTGTTACATTTTGAGAGATCTTTGGGACCCTTCTATCAAGCAGACGCCGAATCATCCCGGGTAGGTTTTTTTCCGTTCGGATATGGACTGGGTTTTGAGACGAACATCGCGTCAGGGTCCTATATTTTCTAGAAAATGATCCTGTATAACTCCTCCACCAAAACTTGTACCAGTTTTACCTGATCGACGAAGCAACTTAGTTGTGGGAAGTCTGCACCGCAGAAGCTCCGAACCCACGTCCGTGGCTCTGGATTTCCGACCGAGTCAGCTGAAATCAGACTTCACTACACTTTAGTCACTGTGTTTCAGTGCATCCATAATTAACACTTGATCAACGAAGTGTCTTTAGCTGACGATGGTCAAATGTAGCAGGGATGGTGGGTGCGACAACAATTTCAGTCCAAGCGTTCTGTTGAATGATTTAGATCCTCACCGATGTGAAGATTCGATCTGCTATATTTCCATCCAGGGGGGTTTGAGGCGTTGAAACCATTATACAGCGAGAAGTGAAGTGTGAAGTGGTTTCTAGAGGAAATTGGCCCAAGTGTTTGTATAATGAGCTGCTTAACTTTCGGTGGACTCCACTGGAAACGGTAGGGGAACCCCTGAAAAGAATCGGTTCCACGCAGCAGAAGACAGTTTTATAGCAGGCCAAAATAAAAACCAACATACCAAGCAAGTTCCGTGCCGCGTCGCACGGATTCACGGATTCACGGATTGATACACAGGATCGAGGCTTTTGCCCAAGTTTCCCGGGTCGGTTTTGTTCTTGTCGGTCAGTGGCTGTCGTTCACCTGAAAGGCACAAGTGAAAAAAGGGTGTAGCACTGCTCTTTATGTTCTCAGCGCGGGGCAGTATGCTCGCCAGCGCGAGGATTCGCATAAATAAATGTCTAATAGTGCTTTAAATTGGGTTCGAGAAGGAGCGTGTACAACCGTCGGAGGAAGGTCATTCCACGCAGCTACTACCCGAAATGAAAAAAAGTTTTGTCTAATGGATGTGTGTGCCCTGAGCTTGAAGATTTTCTTACTATGTCCCCGCCGGGTGTTTGCTGGGTCAACGGTAAAAAACCTGTTTGCCAAGCTTTGTTCAAACAGGGCGTAGGTAAGAATTAGGTCCCCTCGGAGGCGACGGTACTCCAGGGGAAAGAGATCAAGCGTCGCGAGACGCGTTTCGTAGTCCACGGACTTGAGGCCGGCAACCATTCTCGTGGCGGCCCGCTGGACACGCTCAATGAGGGTAACGTCTTTCGTACGTCCTGAGTAGACAACTTGGTTGGCGTACTCCAGGAGCGGTCTGACGTAGGCCCCATAGAGTATTTGGAAGTCCATGCGAGTAATATGGGAGAAGGTGCGTCGGATCATCCGTAAAATGGCGAATGCCTTTTGGACCGATTTCTCATGATGCAGTGAGAAGGACAAGTTTGAGGGGACTCAGATGCCCAAACCCTTTTCGGCATCTATTCTTATGGTGTTTTCTGGTCCCTTTTCACCATGCATAACAAAGGCATTCGCTGAATCCCCTCCAAACGACATATGGACGCACTTTTCATCATTCAGAGGAAGGTGCTAGTCCAACGACCACTGCTTGACAGCGTCTACATCCATTTGGAGGGCACTGGCATTGGAACTCCATGATTTCAAGTCGTCCGCAAAAGGTAGACATGGACTTGCAAGAACATCTGGGAGGTCGTTGACATGGATCAGAAACAAGAGTGGTCCCAGGACGGAGCCTTGAGGAATTCCAATGGAGGCCGGCGCTCGAGAGGAGTAGATTGAGCTTATTCTCACTCGAAATGATCTGCCTGATAGGAGCGCCTTGATCCAGAGAAGGATTTTCCCTTGAATTCCGTAAGACTCGAGTTTGTGGAGCAGCGGGACGTGTGGGACCCTATCAAATGCTTTTGAGAAGTCGAAAAATGTGGCATCCGATATGAGTCCTTCGTCCTTGGCTTGGGTTAAGTTGCCATAAATATGAGCATGTTTGTCACGCAAGAGCGGTCTGGGAGAAATCCGTGTTGAGCTGCTGGAAGTAAGGTGATCTAGGATGGCTCGCTTCAGAATGCGTTCCATCACCTTGCACGGCACGTTAGTGAGGCTTATAGGCTTATAACTGCCAGGCGATAGTCGGTCACCAGTTTTGTAGATTGGCGTGACAATCGCTTCCTTCCAAGCAGAGGGAAGGCGGCCTTCGTCAAGGGACTAACGAAACACCATGTGTAAATGGTTTTCCAGTGTGGAGGACGTTTCTTTCAGAATCCTTGGATGGACCACAAGCAGGCATGACTTTTTATAAGGCATCGTCACATTGTGGACGATACTACAAGTGGTGTTTGAACTGGCACCTTCGTTTGAATGACGAAAAGTGCGTCCAAAGTCATTCGGAGGAGGCTCAGAGAACACCCCTGTCCTGCACGGTGAGACTGGACAAGAAGACACCATGAGGATATATGCTAAAAGGTTTTGGGTGTCTGGATATCTTCGAGCATTTCCTTCTCACTACACCATGAGAAATCTGCCCGAAAAGCATTCGCCGTTCTACGGATGAGTTGGAGCACCTTTTCCAGTATTAATCGCATGGACTCACAAATACTCTATGGGGCCTACGTCACAGAGCTCCCTGGACACGCCAATCGACGGTTATCCACGCTCCACCTATAACCCAGTTCAAAGCACTATAAGACACTTTTTATGCGAGTCGTCGCGCTGGCAAGCATAATACCCTGCGCCGAGAACTCGAAGAGCAGTGCTGTACCCTTCTTTCGCTAGCGCCTCTCAGGCGAACGGCAGATGCTGAACAAAAACAACAAAACTGATCCGGGAAATTTGGGTGAAAGCTTCGATCCTGTGTAGTAATCCGTGAATCCATGAGTACCGAATCTCGCATTCAATTCGGTTCACGGTCCTTCGTTTTCGCATCGCAGTACGTATTTATAAACTTTTGTGAAATAAACTGCAACAATCACCTGTCTGAGCCACTTATCCTGCCAACCTGGCTTGTCCTACCCTCTCCTGATCGCACGCTACTGTTCCCAATTATTGAGTTAGTTCTTTGACCAATGAGAGTCCAGTATCCACAACACCTCGCCAACTCATGCATCGCGTCGAACGCTGATTCCGCGGACCTGTTGATGATGTTTCACTCCAAGTAAAGGTAGGTGTGAGGGCCTTATCCCATGTACATGAACCTTTCACAACGGTAATCGATACGTCCGCCTGCTCTGTGTCCTGGTGCAAAACTTACTGAGGCCAGAGTGAACTGTCATGGCTTATACCTGTTTTGATCATGTAATCGAAACGCAGCTGGGACCCACCATATGCTTTCTGACGATCTCTGCTGTCCAGTTGGTGCTGTAGCCTTCAGTTGTAAGTAGTTTTGATGCAAATATAGTGTCATATGGGTTATCCGCGGTCCGGAGCACGTATCCACACACCTCACTTGCAAACCGGATTTGGGCGGCATAGTTGGAAAGTGGCTGTGTGAAATCGACGTTAAGTTATGTTCCCAAAAAGTCAAGGGACGAACAGATCGTGGCTTAATACACAAGTCAAAACTGGAGCCGGGATGTGTAAAGGACCTGACTGGTCGATGCAACACCTAATGTATCAGATAATACGACCCATTTCTTCATCCCGATGCCAGTGTGTAAAATTGAAGCTAAGACGTGCAGGCGCTGTCGATTGTTGATAACGACGATAGTGTCATAGCAGGGTATGCTTTGGCGCCATGATCCATGAATCATTGACAGCGCAGTATTAACGTTAAACACGGATGCTCCAACCCTGTGTAACCGTACTTTATTTGGAAGCCTTATCGACAGGAAAACAAGAGTGGGTGGGGAGGAATCTGGTTCCAGCCTACCACAATCTTTCTGAGGTACCTGCGACCCTGGACACTTAGATGAAAACTGACATGGATTAGCAAACATATCTTATAGCACAGGGGAAATCACGCAGATCGCACCCTGTAAGGCGAGTCGCACCGACAATGCTCAAAATTTTCATAACTGCTTCCGTACCCCTATGGCGAATCAAAGGTTGTCACCTTGCGCCACTGTCATTTGGACACGGAACAATGCACTCCTTCCGGCAAACAGTGATACATCAGGGGCATTACATGACCAAGTCACCATGCACTTTGTCGGCAATCCATCCATGAACGCGTTTGCCTTCTTCTGGTTTGCATATAAAATCTCGAAAAGGCTGTCGTCAGAAGCTGTCTGAACACAAGTTTTGAAGGCTTTCTAGCGTTCTTCCCATTATCCCGCCGGTCACAAAATAGGAGTGATGGAAAGAGAAAAGGGTCGTTAAACGTCATTTTTGTATACAAACGCTTTTGGAGGGCGTCCTCTCTTATAGAGAACCCATCATACTGATGGGGGCGAGATGGCCGTGGTTAGATCGTGAATCTGCTTACTGGGTGGTCCGTGGTTCGAGCCCGATCTCGAATTCTCCTGTCTAGGCTTGACAGTGTCCAAGTCCTCTTGCTTCCTTCTGGTGGCATGGCAATCTGCTTACTGGTCCGTGGTTCGAGCCCGATCTCGAATTCTCCTGTCTAGGCTTGACAGTGTCCAAGTCCTCTTGCTTCCTTCTGGTGGGTGGGCAGTTAGGCACCGAAAGGGTGTTACTGCTGAACGATTTTTACCGTACTGAAAAACTTCCGGGGCGTTTCTTGCTGACAAAGCGTGTTAGGGGGAGGGACGGACGCGGTGGACGAAAAAGTGCGCCTTTGAAATCCAGGAATACAAAAATTCGGGTTCGTGTATACGTATGGTGTTGTTCTAGCACGTGACGGGATGCTACTTGCTGAGCGCAACCTCTCACAGGTCTAAATTTCGCTTGCTGCTCTCAAGTAGATGTTTCACATTCCTTCATAAGGTAACAGGTGACCGGCGGTTGGCTTTCGATGAGTAACTTACCGGTTCCCGAACTAACTGAACATGCCGTCCCCCCAACGCTTGGTCATATCTCCCGCTCTCTCCCATTTCCCGGTAATCGAACCTGCAGCAGCTGTCCAGCGTATCCTTGGTATGTGGTTGATAGCTGATAAATCGAACCCATATCAACGAACCCAATTTGACTCACGGACCTGTCGATAACCGATCAACCTGCGCAAAATACTACAAGACAGAACCTTAGACTTCATGGTCACCAAGTTTGTGCAACGATTGTTTTCAAATGACGTTCGCTTGACTCTCTTTTTGAAGATTTGAATGATCCATTCCACCAGTAGCTATTCTCGTCCAAAATCTTCCGCAGTAGGATGGTCGGACTTATCATCAGAACCTCATCACATTCTTTGAGGATGCGTGGTTTAGGCCATCCGGATCGGGTGCCTTGTCGCAATAAAGAAATGACGTCTCACAATGAATTTCCGTTGTTAACGGTGGGATGACATTTACAGATTACAGCACTCTCATGCCACATCGGCCGTCGGATGGTGCCATCAGCCGGGTCGCCTTACTTGCTGCATACAGCAGGGCGGGTAGGCGAAAACATGCTACTTCTGATGCCTCCTTCTTTACGTCTCCTGCTCCGCCTCCCTTTTCCGTCTTCCACCATCCCCGCTCAAATTTGAATACTTTCTCCACAGGTCCCAGCTGTAGAACCGATCGTTTTGCTCGCCCTGCATCACACTTAGCTGCAGCTTCTGTACGTCCTAATTCAGACACAACCCCAAACACTTCGGAGTTTGTTTTCATACAGCACGTCTACGTAGCCAATTTCAATGTTCGCACCGAAGCAAGCAGATCAACGGGTGGCTCTTGCTGGTATGCTGGATCCTCTCTGCATTGATGTATGTTGTCCGTCAGAAACAAGGACTGTGATCGAGCTGACTGCCCTTTCTCTCTCTTTCAAGTTCTGGCTGCTGATGTAGAGGCCGCTTTAGCTGAATATGCTAGGGCGGGTATTGTATTGAGCGAACGACCGGAAGCGTCCCTGCTTGAGTGGACATCCGTCACGTCTGTGCGGTTCGTTTGGCAACATATGTGATAGACTCTAGAAGAAGTGAGGTCAATTGCATCTTGTTCATTGCGTTTGCCAGCGCCCCAATTGACTGTAGCCCTGAATCGGCGAAGGACAGTTTCTGTTACGCTTTATATGCTCTTGTACAGCGGGCTGGTGACATGAACGCCCAGGTGAGTAGACTATGCGCTGCTAAGACCCGATCGGGTGGTCGTCTTGGTTTGGACACGAGACGCACGGACAACGGAGGCCGCTCACCTCAGATGTGTTCTGATCACAGACTGTTCTTTTGCAGTATGAACTTCCGTAACAGTGGAAATTGCTTGACAACGTGGTGCCCATCAACAAACCAGCCACGAACCCAACCAGACTACGTCGCCGTCGGCTATCGGTGGTGAGGATCGATCATCACCTACAGCTCCTTCTGGAACACCAGCGGGGACACCGACGATGCACTTGTATGCTGCTGTTTTTCATTGCGCTTTTCAGGTGTACGCAAATCGCGCACATCTTGCCTAGCCATTAAGAAGGTAGTGGACCCAGAAGTCAAACGAAAGTATCAGCACCAGCTCCTCGTACGTCTGCTGGATGGTACGGTGTCGGATATAAACGGTGAATCTGCTTACTGGGTGGTCCGTGGTTCGAGCCCGATCTCGAATTCTCCTGTCTAGGCTTGACAGTGTCCAAGTCCTCTTGCTTCCTTCTGGTGGCATGGCAGTTAGGCACCGAAAGGGTGTTACTGCTGAACGATTTTTACCGTACTGAAAAACTTCCGGGGCGTTTCTTGCTGACAAAGCGTGTTAGGGGGAGGGACGGACGCGGTGGACGAAAAAGTGCGCCTTTGAAATCCAGGAATACAAAAATTCGGGTTCGTGTATACGTATGGTGTTGTTCTAGCACGTGACGGGATGCTACTTGCTGAGCGCAACCTCTCACAGGTCTAAATTTCGCTTGCTGCTCTCAAGTAGATGTTTCACATTCCTTCATAAGGTAACAGGTGACCGGCGGTTGGCTTTCGATGAGTAACTTACCGGTTCCCGAACTAACTGAACATGCCGTCCCCCCAACGCTTGGTCATATCTCCCGCTCTCTCCCATTTCCCGGTAATCGAACCTGCAGCAGCTGTCCAGCGTATCCTTGGTATGTGGTTGATAGCTGATAAATCGAACCCATATCAACGAACCCAATTTGACTCACGGACCTGTCGATAACCGATCAACCTGCGCAAAATACTACAAGACAGAACCTTAGACTTCATGGTCACCAAGTTTGTGCAACGATTGTTTTCAAATGACGTTCGCTTGACTCTCTTTTTGAAGATTTGAATGATCCATTCCACCAGTAGCTATTCTCGTCCAAAATCTTCCGCAGTAGGATGGTCGGACTTATCATCAGAACCTCATCACATTCTTTGAGGATGCGTGGTTTAGGCCATCCGGATCGGGTGCCTTGTCGCAATAAAGAAATGACGTCTCACAATGAATTTCCGTTGTTAACGGTGGGATGACATTTACAGATTACAGCACTCTCATGCCACATCGGCCGTCGGATGGTGCCATCAGCCGGGTCGCCTTACTTGCTGCATACAGCAGGGCGGGTAGGCGAAAACATGCTACTTCTGATGCCTCCTTCTTTACGTCTCCTGCTCCGCCTCCCTTTTCCGTCTTCCACCATCCCCGCTCAAATTTGAATACTTTCTCCACAGGTCCCAGCTGTAGAACCGATCGTTTTGCTCGCCCTGCATCACACTTAGCTGCAGCTTCTGTACGTCCTAATTCAGACACAACCCCAAACACTTCGGAGTTTGTTTTCATACAGCACGTCTACGTAGCCAATTTCAATGTTCGCACCGAAGCAAGCAGATCAACGGGTGGCTCTTGCTGGTATGCTGGATCCTCTCTGCATTGATGTATGTTGTCCGTCAGAAACAAGGACTGTGATCGAGCTGACTGCCCTTTCTCTCTCTTTCAAGTTCTGGCTGCTGATGTAGAGGCCGCTTTAGCTGAATATGCTAGGGCGGGTATTGTATTGAGCGAACGACCGGAAGCGTCCCTGCTTGAGTGGACATCCGTCACGTCTGTGCGGTTCGTTTGGCAACATATGTGATAGACTCTAGAAGAAGTGAGGTCAATTGCATCTTGTTCATTGCGTTTGCCAGCGCCCCAATTGACTGTAGCCCTGAATCGG